TTTTCTTATCAAACGCTTTACTCTCTTACACGTTAAAGTATATTTTCTTCAATCTTTACAAACAGTTAAATAATTATTATTATTTATTTTATAATTCGCAACTCAATTGATTAATTGTTGAAAGAATACAAATCACATTGTTACGTACAGACAATTATTTAAACATTCTCGATATTCTTTCTAGTATTTCCGTGTCGAAAATGAAAAGAATACGTCCATATTTCTCGTGATACTTTATTTCAGTACGATGAGGATTTTTTCGAATTGGTATAAAGTAAGGAGCTCTATATTTGAAGAGATTTTCTTTCCTTTATTATTTCTGTTTCTTTTTTTTCTTTCCTTCTTGCTTTTTTTTTTTTTTTTTTTTTTAATTCCAATAGCGGTCGCCAAATCGCTTAGCGAACGAAGGAAACATTTCCGTTTCCTTTCCTTTTTCCTCTATGGTCCATCAATCGTCTTTTTCGCTGGCTGTGTTATATCCTCCTACGGATCGTAGACGGGTACGGGATTCGTCCACGTAATCACAAGTTCAATCCACCTCGTAACTTCCTTTCGCGGAGTGTAATTTCCAGGTCCTTAAACGGTTCCCTCTATCTCTCTTTCTCTCTCTTTCTCTCTCTCTCTTCATAAGCTCTTTTCCTTTTTCTATTTCTTCGACTTACTCGTACCTTTTCCCCCAACCTTCACCGTTATTCTCATCTTCTTTCTTTTTTTTTTTTTTTTTTTTTTTTTTTTTTTTTTTTTTTTTTTTATTTAAACGATTTCAAATCACGTTAACGCGTACCCGCGACTCCGACTGATGAATACCCAAGATTAAGGTAGTACGCTTAATCCTTGAGATTGCGTTTAAATTTATCCGTAATAGTTCGTCCAAAGAGTGTTTCTCTTGCTGTCAATCTTACGAGAGAATTCTAGGATGGTTGTTAAGAATCAAGGAGTCAGATTTTCAGTTTCAACAATGGGAGATCTTAAATCTTGAAATCTCACTGACTTAAAGACATCCTGTCTTGCTGGAAAAAAGAACATCTTCCTTTCTCTTTCTCTCTTTTTCGTTTATCTTCTTTTTCCTTTTCATTTTCTTTTCCTATATAAATAATACTTGGAATATTGATATTATCTCTATTTGTTACGTCGTTTCATTAGATGTTTTGAAAAAAAAAATGAGATATATATATATATGTATGTATGTATATGTGTATGTGTGTGTATTAGACCGATTACTCGCCAAAGGAAACGAGTTTGCGATGAGCTTGCGTGCGGGATACTATAATCAGATAATATATAATCGTCAAGTGACATGATCGTTAGGATTTCGTAATCAATTGTAATCAACGTATAATTACATCTATTTAATAAAAATAATGATACAGATTCTTTTGATATCGACATTATTGTGTTTGTGAAATGTTATTTTGCCTTTTTTCTTTACTACTATTTTATATAGTAAATATTTATTTGTATAATATGTATATATATATAAGAATTTTTGGTTTTATTATAATATATCGCGAAAAAGAAATAATTCGATCATTTTTATTCATTTAAGAGAACTATCTTACAATTCAAAAGATTTTTTCTTCTTTCTTTCTTTCTTTCTTTCTTTTCTTTCTCTTTTTTTCTTTTTTATAGAAAAAAGATTCGATATCTTCACTGCCAGGCTTTTTCTTTTTTTTTTGTTCTTCTTCCTCCCTCTCTCTTTTTCCTTTTTTTTTTCTTTTTTTTTAACGAAGTCCTTTGCGCTCCCAGCATGGTTTCTCGGTGAATCATTGCATTCTGTTTGCCAAATTCCTGTAAATACATACCTACATAAGTCCTTTTCCTTCTCTCCTCTCCCTTCCTTATCTTTTTGGATGAAATTTAGCGAGAAAAAGCAACTGTTCTTCTTCTCTAACGTTAACGTACATATATATTCACACATATCCACGTACATACATATTATATATATATATATATGTATATCTAGCTATCTACGTATCGTTGGCATTCGTAGCTTATCGATAAAACCTTCGGCCAAAGGGGGGATTCACGACTATTCCGTACGTAGCGATAATTTATTATACCAGTGACGCCGGTTAGATTTACTAACACTTGTTGTCACTTCTTCGACTCGTTTGGACATGGATTTCTTACTTATGTAACTTTACCGATTGAAAGATCAATGTTAAAAGAGATAAAATAGAAAATGATAAACCGTGGTATAAGTTTTTTCTTTTTTTTTTTGAACGGATGATTAAAAAAAAAAAGAAAAAAATATTAGCATGTTTCTTTAAACGTGTTGTTTCATTATATTAGGGAGACCGGAAAGTAATGTCGCTTTCTTAAATTAAATTCAAACGAATAAATTTTTAACAAGTTTTTATTTTTAATTACAATCAAATATCGACATGCGCAAAAACGACATTACTTTCCGGTCCCCCTAATATATATATATATATATATATATATATATCTGTAGTGAATATTGAGAAAAATTGAATGATCCTGGAAAAAGTATGCGGTTGACGAGTTAAAAAGATTATTAGAGTTATGTATCTTAAATATGGTATCAATATTTCGTCAGATATTTTCAAATATTCGATCAGTTGAACTTCGTTGTTGAATAATAACAATAGATCGAATAATGTTCATTCGTATCGTCGATATATGAAAACATTCGATAATATCTGATGAAAAATAGTGAAAAAAAAAAAAAAAGAATTGAAAAACCTGATGGAAAGTGATCAAACTTCCTTTTTTTTTGTATTTTTCCTTTTTTACTCGTTTAA